TCGGCTCTTGATGCTCTCAACCAGTGCAATGCCGTCTCGGAAGGTACATACCAAATATATACATGAATACACATACATGTCCTTGCTATTTGAAAATGGCTGCAGCAAGTTTTTAGGATATACTTTCGTAACTAAATTTCAGCGTTTGTTTGCAATTTGTGTTCAATTTGTTTTGTTTGTATGCTATTAGGTTTCTAGTTTTTCGTCTTCTGTTTGTTGCTGAGAGGGATGTGGAAAAATATTTCAGGATTAGGCACTTTCAGTTGGTGATTTTTTCTGTCATGACAAATAACACAAACAATAGCAAGGATATTGTCATACAGCGTCTTTTTCATTGAAATTTCTTGTGTTTTGCTTTGGGTAGGTCTGTCATAGAACTTGAACAATGATAAGTTGAGTTTGATAGGATAAGTTCATACAACTTCAGTACACATATAATTTGGAGATGTTCCCCTATTAAGCATGATAATAAGTCGAGTTTTGAGCTTAAGAACATCATCCTTCTTACTTTCGATGTAGGTGTTCTAACAAGTTTTATACACTTTTTTTGAATTTGTTCAGGCCAAATGACTGATGAGTTGAGGAACTTTCTCGAGCTTAGCCTTCCCAAGGTCAAAGAAGGTAAAAAGCCTAAGTTCAGCTTAGGAGTGGCTGATCCCAAAATTGGGTCACACATATATGAAGAAACCAAGATCCCCTGCCAGAGCAATGAGTTTGTTCTTGAGCTCATTCGAGGTGTTCGTTTACATTTCGATAGGTTCATTGAGAATCTCAAGGTGTTCATCTTTTGTAGTTTCTCCTCTTAATATATTTCATTCTGGAAATCCCTCTGACTACAAAATCTCATTTTTTTATATAAGCCTGGTGACTTGGAGAAAGCTCAACTTGGTTTGGGCCACAGTTACAGCAGAGCAAAAGTGAAGTTTAATGTCAACCGAGTTGACAATATGGTCATTCAAGCAATCTTCCTTCTTGATACTCTTGATAAGGATGTAAACTCATTCTCCATGAGAGTTAGGTTCGTTCACTTTCTCTCTCTCTCTCTCTCTCAAATCACAACCTTGATTTACATTTTACATTTAAATTTTCTTGTGTTCTTCTATTACAACTAAAATGTCTGATGTTTAATGCAGGGAATGGTACTCATGGCACTTCCCAGAGCTAGTAAAGATTGTCAATGATAACTATCTTTATGCTAAACTTGCAAAATACATTAATGACAAGTCAGAGTTGTCTGAAGATAAGTTAGATGGGCTAGTAGATATCCTTGGTGATGAAGATAAAGCAAAGGAAGTAATCGAAGCAGCTAAAGCTTCCATGGGTAGGGTTATATTTGTCTTTGCTACACTTTTATGTGGTTATAATTTTTAAAAACAGTATCTCATTCTATTTTCTTTTTTCAGGTCAAGATTTGTCACCAGTTGACCTGATTAATGTCCAGATGTTTGCACAACGTGTGATGGACCTTGCTGAATACAGAAAGAAGCTTTATGATTATCTTGTTGCTAAAATGAGTGACATAGCACCAAATTTGGCTGCATTAATTGGTGAAGTTGTTGGTGCTCGTTTGATATCTCATGCTGGAAGCCTCACAAATCTTGCAAAATGCCCTTCTTCTACGCTTCAAATCCTTGGTGCTGAAAAAGCCCTTTTCAGGTCTAATATCATTATCCACAACCACTAAAAATTTCAGCTAAAAACAATTAGATATTAATCTTGAATTCTTGATCTTGTTCTGATTTTAGGGCTTTGAAAACAAAGGGGAACACACCGAAATATGGTCTTATCTTTCATTCGTCTTTTATCGGACGTGCATCTGCTAAAAACAAAGGTCGAATGGCTCGTTATTTGGCTAACAAATGTTCAATTGCTTCTCGAATTGATTGTTTCTCAGGTTAGTTTGTATCTACAAGTTATCTTTTTGGTCAAAGTCAAAGTCAAAGATTAAGTTTTTAATGATCACAGAGGGAAGTGGTACTTCTTTTGGAGACAAGCTTCGTGAGCAAGTGGAAGAGCGTCTTGACTTTTATGACAAAGGTGTTGCACCTCGTAAGAACATTGAGGTTATGAAAGCTGCTATGGAGAATGCTGCAAATCAAGGTATATTGACTTATATTGATTTGTTTATTATAGTATAAAACTGAATATTATTGTTGTCTTTAGAAATGGAGGTTGAAAATGGATCTGAACCATCTTCAAAGAAGAGCAAGAAAAAAAAGTCAAAAGACAATGGTGAAGCAAAAACAGATGACAAAGAGAACACCACTGTTACAAATGGAGATGCTGCTGAAACCAAATCAGGGAAGAAGAAAAAGAAGAGAGCACTTGAAGAAGAGGAGACAGAAGCTACTGAGAATGGGAAAGAAAATGGAACAGAGAAAAAGAAGAAGAAGAAGAGCAAAGATGTTGTAATGGAGGATGTTTCTGCTGTAAGTGAAGGAAAGAAGAAAAAGAAGAAAAAGTCAGCAGCTGAGTGAAGAAGAAGATGATGATAAAAGTTCTGCAACTTGTATCTTGACATGCTATTTTGATATTATTATTATGTTTTTTTGATGCTATCGTGTTGTTGGTTGGTTGAAGTATTATTATGATGATTAGAAACGCAAGGTTGGAAGGTAGTTAGGTTAATTTTATGTCAAAGTTTTGGTGTAGATGGATGTATTACAGTTAATTTCATGTTTAATGTGGTCGTAATATGGATCATACCTCAACAGTCTTTCGTATCTTATCCCTTTAAAGATAACCAAATTGCATGAAAATGAAAATTTTGTCCTTGGATCCTATAACTTGAATTAACATCGGACTTTTTTCCTTTAAGCCATATCAACATCGAGTCTAAACCAAGTTTGATGTTAAATAAAGGTTAATTTCTACAGAAATTACTAAGTTTATATGGAAATTTGTTTTTTACATTGCATTATTTTTTGTCACAATTAAGACATGGTTTATCAATTTGTTTAAGAGTTGACCATTTACCCGGTCATCCGGTTGCCAACTTTGGCGTGACAATCTTTGATAATGCGACCACTGAAATTGGATTGTAGCTCCTAATAAACAAATAAAAATTGGATTAGTTGAGTTGTATATATGGATCTATATCATCTATATTTCAATCTGCACTTTATATCAAGGTTATCAAGATCGGGATCCTAGGTAGGATCGTTTTTGGGTTTCCAAGATCGGGACCGAGATCCTAAGATTCCAAATAATACATAATTTTAATTTATAATTTTATATCATGAAAAATATTTCAAATATTCAAATTTTCATTCAAAAGTTATAAAAACTTCAAAATATTAGTCATAAGTCACAACACAAAATGATAAACGGTCAATTGGTAAATGGTAAAAGACATAAAATGATAAACAAAATCATTTGCAAACAAAAAAAAATCAAGGTAAGATAGGATCGGATCGGTTCCCGATCCTACCTGCGATCCTACCCCATATACGATCATTTTACGATCCGACTCGTTTTTCACACCTATGATCGTAGGATCGTATGATCCTACGATCATGATCGCGATTTGACAACCATAATTTATATAAAATAGTTTAACAGGTTTGAAAACATAAGTTTTTCTAAATCAATCATTTTATTTTCCCAAACAAAAATATGATGTGTCTTTTACATCATATACATATGTAGGTGTTGTCATTTGAGTTGATATCATAAACATAATAAAATAAAGGATAATAAGTAATATATTTTTTGATTTGTAGATATTTGGTCACTAAGTTATTATTATTTTTATTTATTTATTATTATTATTATTATTTATATTTGACCATTTAACTTCTTTTTTTTTGTCCACATTCAATTCTTATAACCGGCTACTGCAAGTTAAGTCGGAAAAAATGACTTAACAAGGTAATATATTTTTCAGTTTGTACACATTTAGTCCTTAATGTTTTTGTACACATTTAATCATTATGATCAGTTTCTTTTGATTTTGCTCACGACATCCTACGTGAGACAATCATTAATGAAGTGTTCTGATACGTGACTCATCCTTCATTTATATTAGTAACCTAATTAACAAATCGGTAAAATAATGTTGGTGCTCTAGTTTTCTCCAAACAAAAGATGTCTTCGTCTTCGGTTTCATCTATATCCATAACAAACAATAATTTTTTTTTGTGGTTGTTTCCTCCTTACTCGAATTTGCATTTCTAAGACAAAAAGAATTAAGGAAGACGCTAAAAGAATTTGCACTCCCAAGACAAAAGAACACACTGGCAAAAAGTTTCATTTCTCCGTAGCAAACAACGAGATTCTTTGTGATTGCTTCTTTCCAACTTGAATTTACACGTCCAAGACAAATAACTCGTTGTCTGCTATGAAGATAGATGAAACCGAAGACGAAGACATATTCTGTTTGGAGAAAACTAAGACACCAACATTATTTCACCGATTTGTGAATTATGTTACTGATATAAGTGAAGAACGAGCCACATATGATAACACCTCATTAATGATTGTCTAATGTATGGTGTCGTGAGCCAAAATTTGAAGTAAACTGGTCATAAGGATTAAATGTGTACAAACTGAAAAATATGCTACTTATTAAAGTCATTTTTCCGGTTTAACCTGAAGTAACCGGTTATAAAGACTGAACGTGGACAAAAAAACAAGTTAAATGGTCAAATATAGAAAAAAAAACTCTCATTGACCAAATATATAAAAATAAAAAAATATATTACCTTTAAGTCATTATCTTTAAACTAAACTAAAAAGAAGTTATTAAAAGGTTATAGCTTAATAGTTAATAGTATCAGAAATTAATAGTAAAAAATATCCTTCAAGACAATAGTTGAAATGTTGAATATTCAAATATTATTCGAGTAAGGACTAAAGAATATATATAAAAACCGAAAAAATTGAGTGACGTTCTAATTCCTAACATTAATTTTACTATTAAAAAGAAAAAAAGAAATCAAACTTTAGGAGGGTAAAACTGGAATTTTCTCTTTGATACAACTTTTCAAATCTGCCATGCTTGAAATTGAAGCATATCAAGATTCGAGAAGTTCGAGGAAAGTAAACTGGGGAAGTAACGAACTACTGAAAGAACCCTAGCATCCAATTTGACGCTCGTTTAATCCTTTTCCTCACAATTCACCTACCAATTTCTCAAAAGATCAACCCAAAAAAATCCTACGTGACGGAATGGCAACTTCAGCGGCGGCGAATTTAGAGGATGTTGCGTCGGTAGATCTAATGACGGAGCTTCTTCGTCGCATGAAATGCTCAACCAAACCTGACAAACGCCTCATTCTCGTCGGTAACATTCTTGTTTCTCATTGCTCTTTTCCTCCTCTATAGCATCATTTCTGTTGCCCCCAAAATTCTATGCCAAATGCATATTCATTGTGCATTTCCTCAGATCCGATGTGATTTAATTTTAGGCGCTCTGTTATGTTAATGCTTTGCTTTCATCAAATTGCTATATTTTAAATGCTGCGATATTAAATCATCCTAAACGTTTTTGTTATCGATTTTGCTTAGAAACAGAGAGAATAAATAGAAACAGAAACATAATCTTCATCACAATTACACAGCCATTAGAGCAAAATGGAATCTAAGATAAGTCAGAAAGGGATGGACATGATTTTATTACTGCATGTCACTGATAAAATTAACTGTGATCATGTCATTGAAGGGTAAAGGACATTGATAAAGATTGATCTTCTTTTACTATTTCTTGATTGAGTTAGAATAATAAATGGTGGAAAGGAATGATCTTACTAACTACAAAGTATGTTATATTGTTACTTTTGTTTGTTGCAATGTAAATGATCTTTCAGTTGATGAATCTGGTTTGATGATCAATAATTGGTTTAGGAAACAGGAATTTGTCAATCCACTTCTAATCACATCAATTCTGATAACTAATTTTTAGTTAAGCCGTGTTTCCCCTAAATTGGATCTATCTGTTGATGAATCCTGTTTGCTTCAGGCCCACCTGGATCAGGAAAAGGTACTCAGTCACCAATTATCAAGGACGAGTACTGTTTATGCCACCTGGCTACTGGTGATATGCTAAGAGCTGCTGTTGCTGCAAAAACCCCTCTTGGTGTTAAAGCCAAGGAAGCCATGGAGAAGGTAATTTAAATTTTACACAACTGACCCCTCATCTTTCTACTTATCACTATTCCGGATCCATTCTTTCTCAGGGACAACTTGTTTCTGATGACTTAGTTGTGGGGATTATCAACGAAGCCTTAGAGAAGCCTTCATGTCAAAAAGGCTTCATTCTTGATGGATTCCCAAGAACCGTGGTCCAAGCAGAAAAGGTATTAGACTATTTTTCTTGATTTAACATCAACCATTTGAGTGCTTTTTTTTTTGTTAATTTCTATTTTGTATGTGCAGCTTGATGAAATGCTGAAAAGAAGAGGGGTGAAAGTTGACAAAGTGCTAAACTTTGCAATAGATGATGCAATCTTGGAGGAGAGGATTACTGGCCGTTGGATCCATCCTGCTAGTGGTCGGAGTTACCACACAAAATTCGCACCTCCTAAAGTTCCTGGGATAGATGATGTAAAAATTCTAAACATCTTTTTTATTTTACTTATAAATTGGTAAAAATAGTAAATTCACCCTGATTTTCTTGCTTATTATCAAAGGTGACTGGAGAAGCTTTGGTTCAACGTAAAGATGACACAGCAGCTGTTTTGAAGTCAAGGCTGGAGGCATTTCACAAACAGACTGAGCCAGTATGTTTCTTCTTCTTTTTTTTCCATTTATTTAAATTTTATGAGTTAATGGAATTTTATATGTAAATATGTATAAGTTATTTATTGACATATGCCAGGTTATTGATTACTATAGCAAGAAGCGTATTGTGGCAAATCTGCATGCAGAAAAACCACCAAAGGAGGTAACTGCTGAGGTCCAGAAGGTGCTCTCATGATTATCTTATTAGCTTGGTATTTACTTTGAACATTGTTTCTCTTTATTATTATTATTTTTTTTGGTTTTGATACTCTTATGGGAACTTGTATCTTGATATAAGCTAAGTTTTGAGTTGAGCTAAAGAACAATAAAATAGTCCGTCTACAATTTTTTCGTCTAAAGATCTACTAATTTCTCATTCTTTATATAAGAGTCAAAAGACACCAAATTCGTATTCTTTATCTAAACGTATAATCTATTAGATTGTTAGGAGAGAAACATATTGAAAAAGTCAAAGGTCCAATCATAATCTTGACTTCAATTTTTTTTATATTTTATAAAAGGAAAAATGACTTAAAAAGGTAATAAAGTTTTCAAAATGTTCAAAAAATATCATTGTTGTTTTTAAGTACAAAAATACAATTAAAGTATATTTTTTGTACTTCAGGTAAACGGAAAAATGACTTAAAAGGATAACAAAGTTTCCAAAATGTGCAAAAAATATCATTGTTTTTTTCGTACAAAAAATACCATTGAAGTATACCGTTTGTACACGGTATACCAACAAGGTACACATTTTAGTACAAAAAATACCATTGAAGTTTTCAAAATGTTCAAAAAAATTTCATTATTGTTTTTTCAGCGCATCTTTTGTTAACTAAGTTGTTTTCGGATTATGTAGAACACGGTCATCGGATATCATTCCTTGTCATACCAGTTCACACCAGTTGTGCACTCTCTTTCATTCCCTTACTCGATCAGTTTGTATCTAAATATAGTCATAGAAAAACACGTAACTAGGAATCCATCAATTAGAAAACAAGTTGTTCAAGCGCTCCAACACATATGCTTCTCTCTCTATTTTGACTACAAATCGTCATCAAATCAACTACATGACGCTTGGTGTTCTTGACCATTCATCTCTCACTGGTCCAGAGAATTAAACGTAACTCCTACTCCCTACATCCACATTTAGGAATTCTCACAACATAACGTCACACTCGTTTCTCTTTTGTGTCTCTCTTGTGCCGCAACACTAATGAACGGCTAACCTTGATGTATAATATGTGTATCTACATAATGCATATATGTTTTAGGTTTGAGGTATATAATGCGACTAGTAAGCAAGAACGTTTAACTAAGGTTATTATCCACTTACTTCTCATGTTACCATAAGAATGATCGAGTGAGGGAATGAAAGAGAGTGCACAACTGTTGTAAACTGATATGACATTGCATGATTTCCTGTGACTATGTTCTACATAATCAGGCAACAACGAAGTTAACAAAAAATGCGGTGAACATTTTGGAAACTTCATTACGCTTTTAAGTCATTTTTACGTTTACCTGAAGTAACCAGTTACCACGAGGTTTAATTTGAACACATGTGTATTTCGTTGGTATTCTGTGTACAAATAGTATACTTAAATGAGATTTTTTGTACTAAAAAGCAGCAATGGTATTTTTTGAACATTTTGGAAACTTCGTTACCTTTTTAAGTCATAACCCTAAAATTTAATAACCGGGTAACCTGATGGTTCCCTACAATAGCCGGTGCAATGGTATTTTGTGTACGAGGTTTCCAAAATTTTCAAAAAGTATCATTGTTGTTTTTTTAGTATAAAAATATCATTAAAGTATATTATTTGTACACAGAATACCAACGAAGTACATATGTGTTCAAATAAAACATTGTGGTAACCGGTTATTTTAGGTAATGAAATAGAGTGCACAATTGGTGTGAACTGGTACAACGGAGAATGATCTTCGATATCTGTGTTCTACATAATCCGAAAACAACGAAGTTAACAAAATGTGCTCTCAAAAAACAACAATGATACTTTTTGAACATTTTGGAAACTTCAATGGTATTTTTTTGTACTAAAATGTATACTTCGTTGGTATTCTATGTACAAATGGTATACTTCAATGATATTTTTTTGTACTACAAAACAATGATATTTTTTGAACATTTTGGAAACTTTGTTACCCTTTTAATTCATTTTTTCGTTTACCTACCATAAGGTTTTATCTGAATACATGTGTAGTTTGTTGGTATTCTTGTGTACAAAAAGTATACTTTAATGGTATTTTTGGTACTAAAAAAATAATAATTATATTTTTTCAACATTTTGAAAACTTTATTACATTTTTAAGTCATTTTCCCAAACCTAATATACTTTAAAACACCATTAAACTCCATCAAACTTCTCAAAAAAGAAATGATCGATTTTAGTTTGGCTTTGAAAAACAAATAAAACCCAAATTTGTAATGAACACATGTAAAAAAATGAAACACAACTTTGCTTTTGAAACACCATTAAACAACATTAAACTCCATAATTTAACACCATTTCGCATCTACTGGTTTGGGAAATCGAATCCTACAGTTGCATTGAGAAATCAAAAAGCTTGCCTTTGTTCCAGAATCTTGAGAAACAATGGTGTGGGGTTCATCGTGATTCGAAGATGGAGACGCGAAAGTCAGTGGATGAACTGACCATTGTCGAAAGGGAAGAAGGGAAATGAACGGTGAGGTTGTGGGAGATGAAGGAAATATAAACATCATTGTCACGATTTTCGTTGCCTTGTAGTCCTGAGGTACCCGAATTCTGCCATTAATGTCGAATTCCCTAAAATGTGAGCCCCTCACCATTTATGTTTCATATCATCGCCTACTTCCAGCTTAGGGTCATGGATTACATCTTCGTTAAGGCCCGATTCTAGGAAGGTAGTGGTGAAGAGACATATTGGCACATTGCCCCCTTAAACGGATCCTTCTCCATTTTTATTTTTAAAATTTAAAATTTTTATTTTTATCAAATGTGAAGTTTTCTTCCAAAATTGTCTCCGGTGTTTTGAACAAGGAGGAAGAAGGGGATTTGGGGTTTATGTTTTATTCTTTGACATATTGGCACATTGCCCCCTTAAACTTTTAAGTTTCTAACTTGTTTTCGTAACTAACTCCCCAAAAGTCCAACAAGTCTTAATTCCTCTGTAACAAACCTAGAAGATGAATTTCTTAACATTTTGGGCTCAAACCTAGTTATGTAAAGGTCAAACTTAAGTTTCAAATTTTACAAATTTAGTCCTTCAAACTTTTAAATTTCCAATTTAACCCAAAGTAATCTTCTAATTAATTTTGAACTTCATAATCTATCAAATTTGTTAACTTTGTTTTATTTATTTACTTTATTTATTTATTATTTCAAAATATTTCCGCTTAAAAGGCTAAAACTTGCCTTAAAATACGGACGTAACAATTATCCTCCCTTAAAATGATTCTGTCATGGAATCTTAAAGATAACACCTTTTAAAATTTAAACTAACTTGATTTCAATTACATATTTAAATTTAGATTACTTCTTATATAATCGGTGTTTAATTGTATCAATCTAATTTGTAAACTCAGATTTTGAGTCCCACTTGATATCAATTAATTCACATAATATTTACTTATCTTCAAAACATTTATAACAAGGTTCTTATTTTTCTATACATGGATAAATTATTTTTATAGATAAATTTATAAATAATTCATTTACTACTACATCATATAAATGAATGTTAAAGTTTAAATAGTGTTGTGAATATACTTTCTTCACTTTACTTTGGATTAGTAATCATAATTATCTGCATCAATTGCTAGGTTCAATTGTGAATATTAGAACTTTGGCCACACGAATGGTGTTCATTCGGACAAAAATATTGATAAAAATGGTGGTAACCATAATACAGATGGATTCGGCAAGCGTATGTGAATGTGGAGATAGGTCCTAATATAGAAGAAGAGAAGCATGTCAACGTTGGGAATAATGAAATCTTGGATATATCGGCTCATGCATGTGTTCTCTTGGGAAGGATAATAGATGTTCATGCTATTGGTTATATTTATAAGTTATGTAGGAATTAAGCTTCACCAATTTGAAAAACAAATACGTTGGATGTGATTGGATATAGGTGAAATTTAACATGATCGTTGCATGCAATAGATTAAGCAATATAGTTGTGTTAATGTGATATCCTATAAAGAAAATTAGATCCTTCCAGATCCTTCCTGCCTTGTTCTCCAAGACTTATCTATTTTTCTTATAGATAACTCCTTTTATTTTAATCTAGGATTCTAGTTTCCTTATTACTTTCTAGTTTCTCCTGTATATAAACTCTCGATTGCCTTTTAAATGAATTAAGTTTTTCCAATACCAAATTTTTTATGGTATCAAAGTAGGTCTAGATCAGATCTGTTTCTAACAAAGGCACTATGGCTGGAGATGATGGAGGATCCAATGCTTTGAAGACCGATGGAACTACCAACACCATCGATACAAACTCCCCTTATTATATCCATATTTCAGATTACCTCAGACAGATGCATGTCAATGATGTGCTCACCGACAACAACTACAACGATTGGTCACAAGAGATGTTAAACTTCTTGTTCGCCAAAAACAAAGTAGGTTTCATCAATGGAACCATTAAAAAACCCGAAGAAACTTCACCAAACTACATGACATGGATGAGGTGCGATGCTATGCTGAAGAATTGGCTCACCACAACAATGGAGAAAGGGATCAGAAGCAACATTAAATACATAAATACTGGTTTTGAAATAGGTTCAGACCTCCAAGAAAGATTTGGAAAAGAAAGTGCACCAAGGTCATATGAACTCAAACAGTCTCTAACCATCACAAACCAAAAAGGCACTTCCATATCAACGTACTACACGAAATTACGAAGTATATGGGATGAAATACTGAGTTAAACGAGGCCAAAGAAAAGGAAAGATTATACAAATTTTTAATTGGACTAAATACTGAGTTCACCACAATAGGAACTTAGATCCTTTCCATGAAGCCAACACCAACATTGCTTACCATCTTGTTTCCGAGGATGAACAACAAAGGGCCATATCGTCGATGAAAAAGCCTTCCATGGAAAACAACACCTTCTAAGATTTCACTCCAAACCGGCGAGACAATACCTCAAATCAGCCAAGAAATAAAACTGTGCAAAAGGACACAAAGTAGAACACCGATGAAGTCAAACACTGTGATTTCTGCAGAAAAGATGGGCATAGTTGGGATGGTTGCTTCAAAAGAATCGGCTATCCGAAATGGTGGCCCGGTAAAGGAAAGCGTGAAACAGTTAAGCCTAAAGCTGCTTGCATTGATGCATATTCAAGTCCTATTGCCAGCCAAACCACTGAACAATATCAAAGGTTCATTAAACACTTTACAAAGGAAGAAGGTAACTGTAACATCCATTTTGTGAGGTATTATTTTTTTGGAATTTTTGGTTAAGTGTTGATATTTTTTAAAGACGAAAGGGGCTTTGTACGCTGGGCGTACGCCGTGAATCAGCAAACCTTAATTTTTAGGGTTTAACCCCTATATAATCCCCATTTAAGGCTTGAGGCTGCCCCCTCATCAGCTTCCTTCCCTCATCAACCCTCCCACAAAACCCTAGCTTCCATTTGAGTGTTTTGAGCTTAGAAGTGACATTTGTTGGTGTTTTTGGTGATCTTTAAGAAGGAAGGATCTCTTGGAAGTTGCTCTTGTGGTGTTAAAGCTTGTGGATCCAGAACTTAGCTACCTTGGTCATTATTCAGAAGGTATCAGGTCCTTCCCTTGATGATTCATCTCTTAGTTCTAGATAGTTAAGGTTTTTTTGTTTATTTTGGTCCCTTAAGGCGGTTCTTGAGAGTATAAGCTACTCCAGAAGGTTATGATGACAGATCTTAGTGTTTCTGATGTCCCTTGTGCATAAAAATGGTGTCTTCATGGTTTAAGCTCAACTATGCAAGGGTTGAGGGTTGTTTCATGAAGTTAGTATGTTAAGATCAAAGATTTGACCTTTTAAGCCATGCAAAAGCTTAAAGTCTTTGACTTTATGGTTTAGGACCTTGTTTTGATGTTGACTTGAGGTTTGGACGTTATAAGCTTAACGAGTTAAGTCATTTGGGTGGGTTTAGCTGTCTGACCAGTACGCCGAGCGTACTCCTAAGTACGATGCGCGTATTGGGCCAACACCCTGATTCTTGATCAGCCACGTACGTTGGGCGTATGAGCCAGGTACGTCGTGCGTACGTCCCTCTGTGGGCTTTTGGATTTTTTGGGCTCAGGTTTAGTTGGGATTTTGCGTTGTTGAGTTTGGTTCGTAGACCTTTTTGTGGTATTGGGTCATTTGTGGGCCCTAGGCCATTTTGGAGCTCTTGGGCATGTGTTGGGCCTTAGGGTCCTTTAGTTTGGGTTTGGACCATTGTTAGGTCTTATGATTATAAGCTTGACCTTAGATAGTAACTAAGGTTGGTATTGATTATGTTCAACGTGAGGAACCATTGGGCAGCGGATTCGGGAGTGAAATTTGCTATCTTTTGATCGATGTGATTTTCCTCCATTGTACTCGTGGGTCGAAGGCACCAATACCGACCCACTAGATTATGTTAGTAGAATGATAGTTGTCTTCGTGACAATTCCATGCTATATCTGTTTATGCATGTTGTCTTCGTGAATTTCGTGATACGTTTGTATACTTAGCTGTAGGGGGTGAAATAGACCAAATATCAGTTGAAAGATACCGAAGGGGGTGAAAGAGACCCAATATCGGTTGAAATATACCGAAGGGGGTGAAATAGACCTGATACCGGTTGAGAGATACCGAAGGGGTGAAATAGACCCATCTATATTTTGACTGATATGCATGTATGGTATGTGGTATTTTGGGGGAGCTCACTAAGCTTTGTGCTTACGGTTTTTAGTTTGTGTTTCAGGTACTTCCAGCTCGAAAGGGAAGGGCCCAACTTGATCGCACCGCATCTGCCTACGTTTTTCCGTATTATGTGATTTAGGATTTGTACTATGATATTGTTTCCATTATGATACACTTTTGGTTGTTTTGACATAACTACTGGATGTTTGAAATGAAAAAAAATTATCTGGAAATTTTGGGATGTTACAAGTTGGTATCAAAGTCTTGGTTTGAGGGATTCAGGCATACTCTCAAGTGTGTCTGAACTCAAACCGAGGATTTGGTAGATTTTCATAAAAAGAAGTAATTTATTTATAATAAAAGATGGGGTGCGATGCGTGCAATCAGCCAAGCTCAAGTAAGTTTTCCCAAAATACCCATACATGTTAAATGTTTTATGATATGATATGAGAATCGCATGCTAGACCAGGATTAAGGACCTGCTCAAGATTGCATGATAGAATGTTAGGAGAGATATCTTTATGTGCCTATTGTATGAGCTTATAGATCTGCATGCTAGTGAGAGATCAGTTATCTGATAGGATGGACTGCTCATGTTATGTTCTAATTTGAACTACTTTATGCTCGAATGTTGCATGCTTTGTACTTATAAGCATTTTCCTTAGTACAAACTGACTAGTGGACGAATGCGTTTGGTTACATATTATTGAGATTAGATATTTTTAGAAGGTTAGGTTTAACTCTATTGCGCAGCTCTTGTTTGAGTCCAACCGTTGTAGTGTGGGACCTTTCATTCAAAGAATTATCTAGTACCGATAGTATGTAATTGTTGGGGTTTAGTATACTACAACATCCTATGGTGCACATACAACCCTAAATACCTTGGATCTATGTTTTCTCTATTATACATGCAAATATGAAGTTTCCAAGATATTACCCTATACTAGCATACAAATATCATATACTTGGGTAATAAAATAGATAGAATACATACCTTTTTTTATGTAACTTGTCTTCATGAAACTTGAGTGCCTAGTGCCCCAAGTGTGACACCTCAAATGGTTCACACAACACCATGAACACTTGGAATAACCTTGAGAATAAGGATACTTTGGTTCTCTCTAGTGAAATCGGCCTTGCCCTTTTGTGTACACACACTAGTGCCCATTTCACCAACCAAGGACATCTTTATATAGTGTGGAGATTAGGGTTAAACCCTAATACCCATGACCTTTCATTTCATATGATCCATGGGTTAAACACTCCATGGACTATCCATGAAAGCTTAGCCCAACCTAAATGAACTTGGCCCATCACACACATATATCTTAGAGTCCATATTTAATTAGTTCCTTTTGATCACTTAATTAATTATAAATTAATTCTTGATCAATACTAATTAAATAATATGATTATATATTAATATATTAGAACTTATAATATATTAATATAAATCACTAGTATCCTTTTTCCTCATCTTGTCTATCCAATTGTCCCGATGCCATGCAACCCAAATGAACCATGCCGGGTCGGGTCAAGTCTTACCAATTATAGTTATGGACTTAGACATTAATCCAATAGTCTCCCACTTGGATAAGTCTAAAACTATTATTGAGTATGACTTCAAACCCTGACTAGCAATCGTAGCTCTCAAAAGCTTCTGTCGAACTCTGACCTTGCCGATGAACTCTGACCTTTGTCAATGACTTGTCCATTAGATAAGGGATCATATATTCCTCCATTCTAGATATCATATGGACTGAGACATGGATTATCAATCATTCTCTCTGTCCATTTGTTGTTTCCCGATTTCCGATTTATGATGACTGACTGATTGAACAAATCAAATCAGTCCTGGCTTGGCCAAGCACTCACATGTGTCATCGCTAAATCATCGAGGGGTCCACAAATATCGCTTTTATCCCGAAGGTAAAAGGAATGGATAAACTTCGACTCATATGGCTTGTTCTACTACTTGTTGAATCATACACAA